GAGTTGGCTTTTATGACATTTATTCTTAAGATTGTACGTTGTGATAATTCAATGAATTATGTCTCTTTTGAGTATTGGTTGAAAAACAGATTTTAAAACTTTATTTAATTTCCTTGTGATTATCATGGTTTTTGATATATCAAAAAATGTACGTATCGCTAAGAAAAATTGTTGAAATTTAAAAAAAAAGAAAGAAGCAAGTCTAACAAAAACATGTCTGAATATACAAATGTTTTATCTTGTAAAATAGTTTGCCATAATATGAGCATGCTTTGCCTTTTCAAAGCATATGAATCCTTCAAAATTTGACTTTGTGTCATTTAGCTTTTATTCTTAATCATATATATCTGTTGTTGAAAGAGCAGAGATTAGCATAATAGTAAAATGTGCTATACAGTTATTTTCTGGTTGAAAATGTTTGTCTCAAAATCTTCTTCATGTAAATGTTGGTGGCTTTTAACACTTTTCCTATTTTTAAACATCAAAATGAATTTATTATTGTTCTTTGAACATTTGTAAAGGTGTTAAAGAGAGTTATATCTAATAAGACTCTTGGGATTTTACATTGCTGTGCTGTAAGAAAATGAATAAAAGTAAAGTAGCATTAGATTGTTTTTGTAATATTTTTCAGGTAAGTAAGAGCAGTATCATGTGACACAGGTGTGTCTCCATAGTTCTGTTTATAGAAAGGTTTCTGTCATGTGCTGTTGTGGGGCAGGATCTGTTTCTGCTTTGTGGAAAGCAATTGCTTTCGATTCAGAGGGAATAGATCACTTTCATATTCAGAGGTTGTTTTCCAGTGTTGAGGGGCCAACCCTTAGACTTCCAGGATCACAGCAAATTTACTGTCTTTATAATTTTTTTTAACCTAAAGCAGCAACCCTAAACATCTTTTAAATCTCGGTTTTCCGAAGTTATTAACTGTATCACAGACTTTTTTAAAAGTTTTTTTTTCTTCACATCTACGCTTAACTTAGTGCCTCAGTAAAATTTGTTTGTTCTCCAGTGTATTTTTTATCCAATAAATATTTTTTCTAGTTTGCACAGACTGGCATTATAAATTAAACTCTTGTTAAAACAATATTTTGAACTTCATAGTTCATAACTGCAGCCTTCACTGCATTGGTAGAACAGAAGTGTAAATCTTAATTTGTTGCTATATTTCGCACATTTTCTTTAAAATTGGGTAAAAATCTCATGTTGATTAATTATTTTATTCAAAAAATCTGTAGTTGCTGAGTTTTTTAGAACCAAACCATAAAATTTTCTGGCAACAGAGAAGCACATTTTCCTAACATTGGAATTGGGATCTATGAGTGTTTTTTATGTATTCTTTACAGATCAGGGGTTCCTAACTCCAGTTCTTGAGAGCAACTCTCCTTTAACTTTTAGAGGTAACCCATATCAAACACGTGAATCAACTGCTGAGCTCATTACCAGGGCTTTCCAAAGCTGAAAAAAAAAACTGCTGATCAAGGGGAGTTGATCCTCTGAGTGAACTGTGTCAGCTAAGAGATTCATCTGAAAATTACAGGATGGGTGTTGCTAACCAGCTCTTCAGAGTTGGACTCCGCCTTTGGAGCCCCTAATTTCACTGAGTCTCTCTTTGGTTTTCTTCTATTCAGTTTACAAACAATTCTGCCCAGCAGACTGAGAAGGCCAACTTTAATAGGCTAGGTTTGTGTTTGGGGAATGAGATCTAAGCTGATCAGACCATTTTAAAGTCAAGATTGGGTCAAGAAATTGTTCATTACTTAGTTATCAATTAGTGAGAAAAGTTAACTTAATTTTTTACATTATAAGGAGTTTATGATGCCAAGATCTTTTGCAAAACAACAGACCAACATCATCACAGATCCTATATAGCCCTGCCAAATATGCTATAATGTGTCCCAGTTAGCCTCTCTGTCCAAATAAAAGTACTTGTATAAAACATCAAGCTTTAGGCATTTTATCAAGGTTACATTTTTGTCTTCATTGTTTTAAAGTTCCACTATGCTCATATTTAATGTTTTGTTTCCGTTAGCTTTAAGTTGAAATTCCTCATCATTTACAGATAGTAGTGATTGTGTGTTACCTAATCAAGATATATCATAATAAATTAATTAAACTAACTATTCAATAGTATTCTAATTTATCAAATACAAATGTCCTGTGTAACAGAAGAGATTAAATGCTTTTTCACAGACATATTGTCATAAACCCAGACAGATGGACCCAGTATTCAAGGCGAGTCAGACAGTGGGAAGTTTCAAAACATTTAAATGACAAAATAAACAGAACAAAACCGCGGCCTGCAGCGGATCTGCGGACCTGCAGCGGCTCCAGGGGGAAGGCGGAGCATCGCTCATCACTGGCACTCTGGTTGTGGGAGAAACACTGGTAAGAGACCATGATAATCTGACAGAAGATGATTATCCGCGTGAGTCCTGTACCGGGTTTAATAGTTCACACCATCATCTCATGAAAGGCAGGATCAGCAGATGCACTGCCAACACGATGTGGCACTGGGCCGTCCAGGTGTCCCCGATGCAGCAACCCCAGTGAGCAGAGAAACAGCTCAGAACAGGACCATTCTGAGATCAAGGAGTCCTTAGCCCGACCAGGGGTTCCGATCCAAACTAGAACTGACAGATCCAGGGTTCCAGGAATCCACAGAGCATTCAGGCAGGTTCAGAGTTCCAGTGAGTCCAGCAGCGAGCTCAGACAGAGACGCTTAGATGGAAGCAGGTGGGCGCCGTGGTTGAGAGGAACAGAGACAAGAGATGATACCAGGATAACTCTAGAACTTTTGCCTGGACTCCTCCTAGGAGCCAGGATTACTGGAATTAAAACTGACTTCCTCTGCACTTTGAGCCCAAAACCCAAGAACTCCATGGAGAAGGACCAGTACCACAGCTCCCCCCCGCACGCCGAGCCAAAACCCTGAGGGCTATGCGGTGAAGAGCCGGGACACAATCAGAAGATGGGAGATAAACACAAGCACTCTCTCGACACACAGGCCCCCAAGAGTCAGGACAAGAACCAGGGACTTAACTAAAACTCAAAAACAAACAAACATGAATAACTAACATGAAAAATTAGGGATAATGATCTGGCCCGATAGCTGAGCTGAACCGTATATAAAGAGATTGAATAGTTGGATAAGATTAATGATGATTTGAGCGCGGTGAGGGAATGGCAGGTGAATGAAGCAAGTTATTAGATAAGCTAACATGGCTCAGGGCTCTTCCACAGTTGTTTTAAATGCCCCCAAGCATCTAGATAAGGTCTAATGAAGTTCTGCACTTCCTATGCCAATCACCTGTACAACCACTTGCACAGGAAGACACAGAGCAAGATGTACTTCCTAATAAGGCTGAGGCAGTTCAACATCTGCAACAAGCTGTTGGAGATGTTCTACCAGTTTGTGGTTGCCAGTGTCATCTTCCACCCCGGGGTGTGCTTGGGGAGATGCTTATCCAAGAAGGACACGTCCAGACTGGACAAACTGGTCAGGCAATCCGGCTCTATGACATGCAAGAACCTGGACTTTCTGGGGACGGTCAATGCCAGCCACCCTCTGCACACTGTCACCACTGAGAGGAGCCTGATCAGTGGGAAATTGCTCCTCCCCAAATGCAGGACCAACAGACCGCTAAACTGGTTTCTTCCTCAAGCCATCAAGCTGTACAACTTCTCACTTGGGGGAAGGAGGAGGAGAAAGAAGATGGACAGGGGTAACATTGTCCCCATCCAATGTTGTCTGTCACAGTTTTTGTTGCTTTAAACTTTAAGTACTGAATTAGAGGCAAGTTTATACATATAGTTTTTTCTTTTTTCTTTTAAGGTCTTGAATTTATTTATTTTATCTTACAAATATAAACACAGATCTGTGCTACTTAGAAAAGCATGCTTTACTGTATTCCTCATTTTAAGGAGTGGTCAAAAAAAAAAATCTAGTGTTATACTTATCCTAAACAAAAAACAGGTTATTGAGTGTATTTTTTTTTCTTTTTTTACTCTGATGAAACTAAAATTAAACCGTTTATAAATGTCAATCATTAATTTGAAGGCATAAGAGGGAATATTCCAGGCTTGCAAAGACTGTCAACTGCAGGGGTGGAAGCATCATGTTGTGTGGATCTTTTGCTGTATTGAAAACAAAGGGAATTCACAAAACAGAGGAATATAATTTTCAAATATCAAAGGCAGGGAATAAAAGTTAAAAAGCTGAGTTTAAACTATGCAATAATTTGAAGCATACCTTCAGATTTGTTGTAAACTCTCCCCTGGTCAGGGAATTCTGTGCATTGAAGTGTCCAAAGCTATTCTAGTAAATATCCAGTCCCGGGATAAATTGATCACATTAAGGAGATCTGCAAAGCGGACTCAATTCAACCAGTTCTATCTGGAATAAGGGCTAAAATGGCAGCAAACTACTTTGAAATGCTTGTAGAAGAATACCTACTTTGTTTGACTCAATACCATTCATTTAAGGGAATAGATTAGACCAAGAATAACTTTCTTTTCTTGACATTCCTTTACTGAGATAAAACAGTTTAGTCTGAATTTATATTAGACAGAGAGAGAAAAAAAAGATTAAAATTTTTTTCTTTGGTTTCAGCCACAAACAATCTAATCAGTTATACAAAGGGATTAAAATTGAATCAGGAACATCTATTGTAGAACTATCAAGGGGGCAATGTTTATCTCTTTGTTAAGTCGATCTAAGGTGGGGTTTCTGCTTATGTTCCTTTCTTAGAGCTTCTTTTATATCATCAGTTTGATATAATTGATTGATTTTCCATCTTTAGTAAAGTTTCAGGACTTTTTCCAGCCCTTTTGAGGTAGTTTTAATGGCCTCCAATAAATACCCTAAATCTACATATTAAAGTGTGTTTTTCAAAAGCTCAGGAAATGCATTGTTCAAAGTGACTGCCACTCCTCTAGCTACATGAGAAGGAATCTTGTTTGTCCAGAGGAACTCACCTGACAACAGGACAGCACCTCCTCCTTCACATTCTGTGGCAAACACCTGATGAGAGAGCTGTGTCACTGCGAGAGCAATTCATAGCTGCTGCACTGAGAAACTCCTCGCTCCTGCCTCGGACCAAACCTCTTCACCATGTCGAGGGTTGGCAAGGAAGTGGCAGGTCAGGTCCTAAGCTTCGTAGGCCTGGTCTTGGCAGCAGTTTGCTGTGGTGTGCCTATGTGGAGGGTGACCTCGTACATCGGTGCCAACATCGTGACAGGCCAGATCGTGTGGGACGGACTGTGGATGAACTGTGTGATGCAGAGTACGGGTCAGATGCAGTGTAAGCTCAACGAGTCTGTGATGAGGCTGTCGCAGGATCTGCAGGCCGCACGTGCGCTGGTCATCATCTGCCTGGTGTTCGGCTTCATCGGCTTCATTATCTCGTTTATCGGTGCCAAGTGCACCAGCTGCCTGAAGAAGGAGTCTAGTAACGCCACTGTGGTGATCATAGGTGGGTGTCTCATCATTCTGTCTGCAATCCTGATCCTGGTCCCTGTCTGCTGGTCTGCAGCCATCAGCATCTCAGACTTTCAGAGCGCCTTGACCATAGAAACACAGAAGAGGGAAATTGGAGCTTCTATTTACATCGGTTGGTCTTCAGCTGCATTCCTTCTGATCGGAGGGATAATTCTGACCACATCATGTCCCCCCAACCGACCCGTGATTCCAAACTACCCAGGAGCGATGTACCCATACCAACCAGCAAACACAGCAGCATACGGTCCAGTGTATGTTCCTCCATCCAGCCAGGCATACACAGGGACTTACTCTGGAACCTACGCCCCCACAAAACCTTACGCAGCACCAACCACATACTCCACTCGGGGATATCTTTGAAACTAAATGGACAGACAGCACAAAGAGACTGAAAAATACAACATGGTTTCATGAAGTTATGTTGCCACTGGATGAAACTGTGGATAAAACTGTGCCAAAATACATGTACTTTTAGAGCATGGTATGTAATCAGCAAAACGTGATGTAAAAACTGCTTATTTCATTAAATGATTCTTAACAGATTTCTCTTACTCATTGGTTAATTGTTCAAAAGTTAATGAGTAACATGAGTGAAATGTTGTTCCTTATGCAACCAATAAAATGGGTAACTTTTTGTACACAAACAACTGTCATTTTATTTATTTCTCTGATTGCAGAATGTACTTTCTGAAGTGTTGATTTATTGTTTGTTTTCTGAAACACAAAATTGCTTCAATAAAATCTATGGGCCTTTTTTACTTTCTGTGTGTTTGTGAGGTCATTTTATGTCACAATCATACTAACATCAGGAACAACTATTATAAACAATGATAATATTTTTCATTACTTCATAATTTAAGAAGTTGATGTGATTTGGGTTTATTATTGCTATGCATTATTTTTTTATTATATCAACTATTATATTTACAGATATACATCTTTTTTGTGAATTAGGAAAAAGGCTACATAATGTAACAATTAAATAACAATGAACTCTTTAGATTTCTATCAAGCCATCTAATTTCATAATTTGTCAAGAATAATTTTTGTTTTGTTTTTTAAATATAATATGTGTGTGAAAACGAGCCAAATTTCAAATATTGTTGTCCCATTGTATAAGACAAATTCTGAAAAAATACCATTGGATACAGGAAAAAATAAAAAATAGAAAAACTCGGCTGCAATCTTAAGTGCTGGTCATCGATACTGACAGTAGATTCCTTCCATTTACAGTTTTACTGTAAAAGAGAGTCAATGACACAGAATTTCTATTTTCTTATTTTCTGTCAGTCTAAAGCAACAATAAAGAACTGTGTTGGTTAAATAATAAAACAAAACATTTTGATATATATATATATATATATATATATATATATATATATATATATATATATATATATATATATATATATATATATATNTATATTCATATTTACAAAAATACTCTATATAATAGAAGTTTGCTTTGTCTAACAGTTAACTAATTAAAGTATGTTTTAACAAGGATAAAAATAAACTGTAAGACCAGGAAGGAGCTCCCTAAATTGGAATAGCTTTTCACATCCGGTGAAACTTTCATCTGAGATGGTGTTTTTTTTTCTAAGCCTGAAACCAGTTGGTGGATGTGACGTCACGGTCAATGGACCAACCTGTGTCTTTGATTGTTATTTAAATCTGGAATGTTGGTCCATCGTTTGCATAGCGTTGTTTGAAGCTAAGGTCCATCTCGTCGAAACTACACCTCATCCTGACAAAGATCAAGTAAAGAATCTGGTCAGACTTGTAAATCCATACTGGTTTAAAATCAGAGGTTACATTTTCTTGGCTCCACCTTTAACTCCGATCTGTTTAAAACCAGCAGGGATTTGAAGCTGTTTTTCACAACGCTTCTGCAATCCGACAGCTCAGCTCATTTTTTTCTTCTCCGCTTGGTTCAGCTACAACTCGAACTTAAACATGGTGTCCATGGGACGGCAGATGCTGGGCTTTATCCTGGCCATCATTGGCTTCATAGGAACCATCATCGTCTGCGCTCTGCCCATGTGGAAGGTGACGGCCTTCATTGGAGCCAACATTGTGACGGCGCAGATTATCTGGGAAGGCTTATGGATGAACTGTGTGATGCAGAGCACAGGGCAGATGCAGTGCAAGATCTATGACTCTCTGCTGGCTCTGCCTCAAGACCTTCAGGCTGCCAGGGCTCTGGTAGTTGTCGCTATCATCGTGGCTGCTATGGGAATCATCCTGGGTGTCGCTGGAGGAAAGTGCACCAACTTTGTGGAGGAGCCCCGAGCCAAAGTCAGAGTGGCCATTGCTTCTGGGGTGGTCTTCATCTGCGCTGGAGTTCTTGTCCTGATCCCTGTGTGCTGGTCTGCCAACACCATCATCAGGGACTTCTACAACCCCATCATGACCAACGCCCAGAGAAGAGAGTTGGGGGCTGCGCTCTACGTCGGCTGGGGCACGGCTGCGCTTCTTCTCCTGGGAGGAGCCCTCCTGTGCAGCTCCTGTCCTCCCAAGAATAATGCTCCTGAGTATCCAGTCAAGTACAGCGGAGGCTACAGCGGAGGCTACGGCGCACCCAGATCAGTAGCCAGATCCTCAGCTAACAGCCGAGCCTACGTCTGACAGCACTAATCTGCTGAGAAATGACTGTAAATTATAAACGTTTTTAAACAATCTACCTTCAGGGTTATTTACATTCTGAGAGGCTGGATTCTTTAACAAATCTAAGAATCCCCATCTGGAAAAAAGACTATAGCTTCTGAACAAGAAGGGACAAAGCTATGGTGTGAACTGCGGTCCTGGCACTAAGGACCCCCAATATTTACATCAACGGAACTATAAAACACTTGTAAGAGTAAGAGAGGTTCTATTTAGACCTAATCGGCCTCTGAAGTCTGAGTTTGCCTGCAGATGGTTTATGGTCTTTAAAAGTTCTGATTGACTTTGTGAAAGACTTCAGTGATATATTGTGAATGTATTGCATTGTGCTGTATTCTTACTATTTTACACATGAAGATCAATGTTTTGTTTTTGTTTTTTTTTCAAACTAATATGTTTCTAATAAAACATGCATGTGATATTATTATTGTTGTCAAAGAGCTTTTATTGAGCAGCGATATTTCTGGTTTTTCCTTGCATACTTTAAGAGCAACACTTCAATAAATGTTAAACCTGAAGTTATTTCTTAAAGTGTAGCTATAACCTGTGAAAAAACAAGACAGCATGAACCTTTCTATATTTATTGACTAATTATACATATTTAAAGCTATAAAATACAATGAACAAAAGCTGAGACTTGTATTTAATTCAGGAAGGAGTTTGGGGGAAGTTAAAGGAGTAATTGCACAGTGAAAGTATTTAGAGACATGCTGTATTCCAACTATCAGGTTTTTTCAAACCAGCTAAACCAGTTTTACAGCACAGATCATGGTTGAAGCCTTTCTTTGTGGTGTTAAGTTTCTACGCACACTGGATTTACAAGCTTCATTGTGAGGCATTTTAGCAGGCCTAACAATGTTTGTTTGGCCTACTGGAGTTGCAAACAAGTAGACTAAGTGTCTGGTTATTTTGCAGCCTTTGTCATCTTTTCTGTGGATTTGTTTGCTTAATGCCTGATCTTGCCGGAATGAAAAGAAGCCATCTGGCCTGAAGTGGTTTTGTATCAACCTCACCTTAAAGGAATAGTACACCCAAAACATGATTAGCCTTCATTTTCTACTCACCCCCATGCTGAACAACA